TTGATCCAGAAGTAGACGATACAACGAAAGCTGAACTGGCCAAGATAATTGGAAACTTGAAACTCGGACCCGATCTCACACAAGAACAGAAAAACGATGTATACAATGCATTTTGGGAGTTCTGGAAGGTAATACCGACATCGGAGAAACCGTATGGAGATGTCCAAGGGATCACCCATGTAATCGATACGGGAGATGCAAAACCGGTGAAATGCAATCCCGCCAGAACCAGTTGGACAGGTCGTGAGTTCATAACGAAACCATCGATGAGGTGTTGGCGCAGGACGTTATCGAGCCATCAGATGCCGACTGGAGTTCTCCAGTCGTCCTGGCAGCGAAAAAGAACGGTGACGGAACAACGGGTACCAGATTCTGCGTCAACTATATGATGTTGAATAAGCTAACGAAGAAAAATAACTATCCGTTACCGAATCCGGACGAGTTGCTTGATGCATGTGCAGGCAACAAATAATATGGAAAAATGGACCTTCAAAGTGAATTTTGGCAAGTCCCGATGGACCCGGATTCGATTAACAAAACGACCTTTGTAACGCAGGACGGCATGTATCGGTTTAAAAGAATGCCGTTCGGAGTCTGCAACGGACCTGCAACGTTCCAACTATGTATGGATAGAGTTCTGTCCATGGCGAAGCGAAAGAGCTGCGTCTTTGGATACATCGATGATGTCATATTCGCTGGGAAGACTTGGGAGATTTTCATGCAAAATATGTGAACGTCTTTCGAAGTTTGGTTAAAGCAGGATTTACTATTGAACCGACGAAATGTGAATTCGGAATGAAAAAACGGGGTTCCTGGGTCATATACTCATTGAAAACGGAGTTAAAATGGATCCTGAAAAGGTCGCCGCAGTATCCGAGTTCAGACGACCTCAAACTGAACGACAGTTAAGGTCATTCCTCGGATTGGCGAACTACTATCGGAACTACATTGCGGGATATGCACAGCAACTTGTCACCTATATGAGCTGTTGCGAAATGATAAGCACGTGAAAAAAGACATGATAGAAGTTCGTACGAAGGAATTTGATAAACTGAAAAAGTTGTTATGTGAAGGTCCAGTCTTAGCGTAATTTGATCCGGCGAAACCGACAGTTATCAAATGCGACGCGAGCAAAGAAGGAATCGGAGCAGTCTTATCACAAGAAGATCATCAAATTGCCTACGCGAGCCGCGCTTTATATGGGCCGAACGAAACTACGGTGTAACGGAATGGGAGTGTTTGGCGGTCGTGTTCGCCGTCAGAAAGTTCAAACCGTATATCGATTACTCCGAGTTCACCGTACGAACAAGTCATCAGGCGCTGAGCAACTTGTTAAGATCAGAAACGAACAAAGTTGGAATGAATCCGCGATTAACCAGATGGGCGATGGCACTACAAGGTCATCAGTTTAAAATTGAATAAAAGCCCGGAAAGTAATGCGATAACGCGGATGCACTATCGAGAGCACCGATAGAAGGTCCAACATGCCACGATGAAGAATTTAATGAGATTCCGAACTTCGAGGAAATCAAAAAAAGAGTACGATACAAAGGAACCAGCACTCGAAGTGTGGCATTTGTTCGTGCAAATGGCTGACGAAAGGGAAAAGCGCATAAAGGTCAACCCAGTTACGGCGAACGAGTCGGCTGAAAACGAGATTAACGTCAATCAGGTTAAAAGTTGGTTGCCCACCGTTAGTGACTTAAAGGTCACCGGACTTGGAGGCGAATCAGCTGATCAGAACGGAAAGGTCACTGAACGTAGTGAACTAGCGGATAATCGACACGACCAGTGGAAAACGGATAAAGTGGCACAAGCATTAAATGAATGTCCGATCAAGTTGTTGAGATTCCCTAAAGAGACGAAGAGTCGGCGTAAGCCGGGTCATCACCGATTGGAACGACTTGGCTACCGCAACAGTTCGCATCGTCAACTTGCAAAGTGATGAGGGAGACGAAGACGATTCGAATTTGCAATTGCAAAATAAACAGCTAAAAGATCCTCACCTCGCAATGATAATTGACAAATTGGTGCATCTACCCGATGCCGAAACCCGATAAAAATTCGAAGTTCATTACCAATTGTGGAATGGAATACTTTACCGAGTAAAGGATAATAAGGGTAGACTTGAAAGGTCATACGTCGTACCACTGTCAATGAGAAGAGCGATCATCCATGCGATGCACGATGAGAAAGCAGCAGGTCATCTTGGATTTGAAAAGACGCTACCAGCGATCGGGCTGCGATACTACTGGGACAGAATGAACACGGACGTTAAAAATTACATACTCGCGTGTCAAGGATGTCAGTTCCGTAAGCCAAGGAAATGTCCACCTGGAAAGCTGCAGGAAATTAAAGTGAGACATCTTTTCTTCCGAGTATACGCTGACCTAAAAGGACCGTTATCACCGACTAAGAAAAAAGGGTACAAGTATATAGCGGTGTTCATCGACAGCTGACGAAATACGTCATAGCAGTACCAATGAAAACGGCAACAGCAAAAGTGTTCGTGAAACACGTGATATTGGTACATGGAGCACCACACATTCTACATACGGACCGCGGAAGGCACTTCACAGCGGAGGTTTTGTCAAAAGTCACCAATGTGTTTAAAATTAACACACATTCGAAACAGCGTACGACCCTGAAGGCCAGGGTCAAGTCGAAAGGCAGATGCAGATCATCGGAGACGGCTTGGCACAACATATGAAGGCGGGAAATGAACGAAAATCTTAATAAGTACCTCCCGTACGTCGTTTCAGGGATGAACAGAGCGGTACATGCAACAACCGGATACTCAGCATATTAAATGCTGCATGGAAGAGAAATGACCATGCCGGAAGATGTAGTAACAAGAACGAACTTACCGGATGATTATGGTACTCCGCCGCCCTGACGCAGCTGGCCTTCCTCATCATTTTCCTGATGGAGAATGATGCCTTCCACCTGGCCTTCCGCCTCGGTCTCCTGGCCATCGAGCTGGCTCGGCCCCCGGCCAGCTCCAAAGCCCTGGAGGTCAAGATGACGCACCAGGAGTGCGAGATCGTCGCGCTCTTGAACAAGATCCCCCAGGCCCGCCCGGAAGTGGAAATCCTGCGGCAACGGGCCGTCGCGCTGCGCGACGGGACGGTCAAATCGCTGGGCGATGCGCTGTTGCCGCTGCCGTTGGCGCTGTTCGTCTTTGAATCGCTCTCCAGTGCGTTGTTCTCGTGTAGGCTGACGGCAGTGGCGTTTCGTTAACGATGCGGTGTTTGCAGGTGCTGCGCGGCAAAGCGGGAACGCCCACAACGAGGAGCTGCCCGAGCTGGCCTTCGACGCTGCAGTGATGGCCCTGGGGATGAAGAGTAATGTGGCGGAGGCGGAACATCCCGTGGTGTGCGAAGGGACCCGCCGACAACGCGGCGAACTGGCTTGTTTGCTGCTGGTGACGTACAAGGACGACAATAGCCGACTCCGAAAGGTACTGCAATTGTTTTGATATTTATTAAAATATTTTCGATTTAGTTTATTAAATCGGAAATATTAGTTTTAATGTTTTATTTATTAATTTTTGTTTTCTTTGCCGGTTTATTTATTTGTTTCGCAGCGCTTTACGGTGTTTGTGCTTGATGCAGGTGATGCACCAGCTGCTGGACAAAGATCTCTACAAAAGCCACCGCAGCGGCGTGAAATATTCGCCGCCGTGCAACAAATCCTCCCCGCGGAATTCCAGCTATTTAACCGTGCCGAATAATGCTCAACAGGCGGGCTTGCCGGCGCTTGTCGGGGAAATCAGTCTGGATATTCATTTTAAAATTGGAAAAAAATGCTGTGAATTTGATATTGGTTCACTTTCGACCTTATGGTCATGTATCTTTTACAGCAAAGTTTCAAGATGAGCTGGTAATAACCAGACTTTTGGTACACGACAATGCATTTTAACTTTTTGCCCATTTTGTTTCACCATATCTCGGCAACCGGATGTTGCGCGCGCAAACGGTTTTCAGAGCAATGTGAACAAATCATTCAGCTTTAGAATGACATAAAGTATTACAAAAAAGTGATTCTGAGTGCGCGCAAGCGAAAGTTTTAGTGTATGTATACCATTTTGGACGCTATGTACCGGGCCATTTTCCATAGAAACTTTTAAAATTAATTTTAAAAAAGTTGCTGCAGTACGAGCAGCAATGCAGCATGTAACAACAAGAATTTCATCGTCCCAAAAAGCTCCACCAATAGGCAGCTCGTAGGCGCAGCTGCACTATCATGGAGTGCGGTAATCCATCGCTGCAGTTTGATTTAAACACTGAAGATAATTTATGTGCCATTTTCATTAATGGTATTCTCGTAATATTTTTATTTTCTGGAACAGCAGAAAAAAAAATTTAATACTGCCCTTACCGAGCGCGTAGAAGCCTATCTGGTAGGCGCACATTTGCAGTTCGCGGTGCGGCAGGCCCAACTGCTGCCCGGCCACCGGCTGGAACAAGGCGTTGCAAACGTCCCCGCCGGCCTTGACCAAAACACTCTTGGCCAGCTCGAACATGAAGTGCGCCATGGCCTCGCTGGGCTGGTTGGGCTCCGTCGGCGACTTCTTGGCGTTGCGCTTGCCGTTGCGCGCGCACGGCGTCGAGCTGCGCGCCAGACTGTCCACCACGGGCACCGCCGCGGCCGGGGCGACCGCCTTGGGCGGCGCCGGCACGCACTGGCTGGCGTCGTCGTCGCGGCGGAAGGAGGAGTCGCGCGAGTCGGAGCTGGAGTCGCCGCTGCTGCCGCTGTCGGCCTCGTTGCCCTTGGCGCCCGCCCCGAGCCGCGGGAAGCGCCCGATCAGTGTCGGACTGTTGTCGCTGCTGGTCGTCTCCGGCGCGGAGCTGTCGATGCCGCCCGGGAGGTGGTTGGAGTGCCGCCGGCGCGGCTTGAACACCGTGCAGCGCAGTTTGCTCTCCCAGTCCTTGTTGTCCTCGTCCAGGGCGCTAGAGTCCTCCGAATCGGCCGGTCTCGCCGCGTTCTCTTCGCCGACGGACGCTCTGGCAACGGGTACAACTTCTCTCTGATCTGTAATTGGAACACAACAACACAACACCAATGCCCTTCCTACACTTGCAGCGGATAAGTGTTTCCTCACCTTCAAAAATTTTAAAATTTATTTTGAAATTATGGGAAAGTGCTACGAACCGGAAATTGGTTCACTTTCGACCTTATGGTCATATGTCTTTTACAGCAAAGTTTCAAGAAGATCGGGTAATAACCTGACTTTTGGTGCACGACAATTCATTTAAACTTTTCGCCCATTTTGTTGCACTATATCTCCGCAACCGGATGTTGCGCGCGCAAGCGGTTTTCAGAACAATGTTAACAAATCATTTAGCTTTAGGATGACATAAAGTTTTACAAAAAAGTTATTCGGAGTGCGCGCAAGCGAAAGTTTTAGTGTATGTATACCATTTTGGACGCTATGTACCGGGCCATTTTCCTTAAACAACACTAAAAGAAACGAAAAAAAAGGAAACCAAGAAACGTCAAGAATAAGAAAGGACTTTCAAAATCTGTCGGATGGCTAAGTTCAGCAATAGCATCCGCGTCTTCACGCTGACTATCCCAGTGCAAAGTAGATTGCGGATCATCGCGCCGGTGGTGGCGTACTACCCAACCCCGTCATGTGAACGCTGCTCACTGGGTCAGACGCTGAACATCTCGCTGATGCCCAGCACTGCCAGTTTGCTGAGTCGGCGCACGTTAACAGTGCGCAGATCCACCGTGGTCCACAGCCGCGGAGTGCCGTCCGTATGAAATCCGTGGAACCTGCACAATATAATGCAAGAATGCACCCTGGAATTATTACTTATCCTTCAGACGGATTAACGGTTAATCAATCACTGACAAAATACAGTTACCCGCCCGCAAACTGTTTATCCCTGTTCAGAACGCTGTTTAGCGGCAGACTGCAGCTGCGGCCGAAATGTGAAAATGGTTACAGGAAACATAAAATTATAAGCAGAAATGGGTTGGGTAAGCTTACACTTGCAGGTAGCTGCGGATAGTGTCCCACTGCTCGGGATAGACCAGCGTCAGTACCCAGCGGGCATACACGGTCTGGACCTTAACGTACACGGCCTCCACCACCGGCGGGCAGTGCTCGTTGACGGCCCACATCAGCCGACTGAGCACGTGCCAATAGCCCTGTCGCCACGGCAGCCGTAGCCGGGGAATGGTGATCTGCAGCGCGTCGATGCTCATCATCGGAGTTTCCGCGAGCGGCAGCCGACACAGGAATAAGGGCATCGTCAACTCCTGCAGGCGCGGATTCATCCAGTGTCTGGCGTGCAGCGGCAACGCGCGGCGCTCTCCACGACAGATGAAAAGACTGAAGATTGAATCGCGGAAGATGCCACTGACGCGACCATTGAGTAGTAGCACCGCTTCACACCGATCCCACAATTGGCTGGGCCGGCTGTATCTAAAGCTTCTGTAGTTGACAGTGTGGGCGAAACAGGAATTGGTGAAATCCTTGATAATCACCAAGGGTAACCGGATGTTGCGAATGGTGAGAAAACTGATCAAAAAGTCCACGTTATGAATGCAAAGGTTCGTGCCGGTGACGGTGAGGCTTTTGGTGGCCGACGTGACGTCCCGGTTCAGTAGGGATGCCAGCCGGAAGCAGTAATTTTCATTCCGTGCCCAGTGATCAATAGTGACGCTGCAGGCGTCCTCCGGGTCGGTGTGACGATAGGTGGTGGTGCACGCGGCAAAGGTTAAAGTCACGTGCTCACGCGGGCGAAAGGCGGTCAGGAGCTGCTGCCATAATGCGCATACCCTGTAGATGAGACAGACAGCAACGGTTGCAATTTGCACGGGGAAATGGCATTTTTTCAACATTTGTTGAGCTTCAGTTTGCTGACACGTTCTATTAATAAACACTTGCAGTACAAATAAGAAACCGAAAGCAAAACCAATAAACCGGGCCAGCACATCAGAAATAGTTTAGTATGGTATTCACGTAACCCATTACGTGAACCAGTGACCGAGCTATCAATGTAGGGAGCCCGTAAGATAAACGAGCTACCACTACTGTCCAGTGTCCATAGCCCGGAAGGTGAGCGGGTAATGGAACGATCACTTCTGTGACTCTGTCAAGTGTTCAGAGCCCGTTAGTTGAGCAAGTGACCGAGCTAACACTACTGTCCAGTGCACGAAGCCCGTTAGGCGAGCGACTGACAGACTACCACGACCGAGAATCAGCAGGTTGAGGTTGAGAGCATTCTGAATTCATTTGAGAGAATTAATAATGATGTGAGAATCACGAATTGATATTTACAAAAGATCCGTATTTTTGCTCTTTTGCGATGTACCGATTATGTTCGACGAAGTGTACTCTAGGTGTTACACTAACATTCACTGAAAATCAGATAGTGGCTTTAGACCACAAGATGTTGTTTAGGCCACGATGCTATTTCTTGATCATCGTAGTGTGGACTGTGGAGTCGGCACTATGGACATACTGTATTAGCAGTTCATTACCGTCCTACGCTGGCCTGTGTGTGCAGTTCTAAGTGCGTGAATGCCTCCGACATAATGCAGTACGGTACATGCTGGATGTTGACGTCTCCGGCAGCAGGCTGGTCGGCGTCTACAAAAATTAAGATAGAAAGTCATTGGAATATTGTTCTTGGCTACCACTTGTATCAGTCTGATGCAGTTAGGCGTTAAGGAAAAAAATATGTGAGGCCATTAAGAGTTAAGTTATGTCTATTGGGATGGAGCAGAAGCACCAGAATTTTTTGGCCACGGTGGCGTCATATAAGTACTCGCCGTGTACGTACCACTAAGCAAAGCCACTCTTTCGCGCGGATTGCTACGCATGCGCTGATCTGTCGGTGGCAGCATGTCGCGGCGACGTGCCGCATTGCCCACGTGCGTTTGCAGCGTGCGGTACAGCCGGTCCAGACTTTCCTGCTCCGAACGACAATTCAGGCGAAAACCACAGGTGTCAAAAACCACCACGCAGCAGTCGATGCCGATCTGTAGGTGGAAGCGGCAGTAGTCGGGAACGAGGCGTCCCAACATGGCGTTGGACGCCCGCAAGCACTGAATGACTCGCAGAGCGTCGCCTGGTTCCTGCAACATGAGCTGCGCCCCTGGCAGGCCGAGGATATACTTGGTGTAGTGGGTTCCGCACTGTGGCATCGGATAAGCGCTGGGCGGTATGGGTCGGTTCATCTCCGTGGGCGGCAGCGACGAGGACACTTGGCAAAAGTCAACCACCTCCACACGCTGCGCCGGCGCTCCCGCGCCGTCCACGGCGTCCAGGACGACGTAGTGCATTTTACATGCTGCATTATTTCAGAGCTGTCACTTTATGTTTTATAAAGTTTTCTTATGTTATCTTATGTCTCTTATGTTATGTTTAATTCTTTATTTGGTTTTACAGCGTCATACATTCACAGTAGGTCAACGACACTACGTTTATGTTATGTTATATGTTTTCATGTTTCACACGTTTGCTTATGCGAGTTGGTGCAGGCGGAAGTGACCAAAGTGATCGGTAGCCACTTTTGTCTTCATGGCTTTGAAAGGTTCAGTTAAATTTCTCGTTGTAGTACTTTTCATACGGAATATACTGATTTTAAATTTTTGGTACAGTTTGATATTTTAGCAAACTAGTGTCTAAAGAGCTCTGTAGTGACTGCTTTTGCGTAAGCGTACTAGTAATAGCACCGCTCTCTCCCTCAGTACAACAATTGACCGGGGTATTCTAGGTAATGGTACTGGCAGCGGTGATGGGACTGGTAGTGGTAATGGTGGTGGTACTGTAACTATGCAGTTTTCTTAGATTTCTAGGTTTCTTATACAGTACTTCTTATGTTGTATACTACAAAGGGCGTTCCAAAAGTAACTCTCCTTATGTGTACCCCCTCCAAAGACACATTTAGTTATTCACACAGATATTTTTATTATCATCACGAATTACGATCAGTTAACTTTAATGTTATCTGGGCTCGCTGCAATCTGGCTGAAAAACATTTTGCAGAAAACTGGCGGAGATCTTTGACACCCTACCCTGCGGTCTTGTCGCACCTTTTTTCGTTTTTTATGAATCATCCTCCTCATATTTTGGGAAGCAAAAACGTCACAATTTTATTCTCTTGAAATCCGCTAATAACTAAAAAGGACAGCTCTTAACGCTATTAGGAGAAAACGCAAACTGTTCGGGACTAAATTCGGGACCAGGAAACTTGGAGAAAAAAATGCAAAAAATTAATAAAAACTGGGATTCTTCATCTGATTTAAAATTAGCTTATGTCCATAGTGTGCTGTAATAGGCCAAGTTGCCAACGATACACTTTTTATTGAGGAAAAGAATCATGAGTTGGAAATTTCCAGAAAGCGATAAACTACGAAAAATCGCACATCTTTCAGGAAATAATCAGTATTTTTATTTTTAAGCTTTTCAAAACGTTTTGACAACATTGTAATATTAAGGACACCCTTTGGCATTTATTACAGTAGAATAAGCCACTGCTGAAAATGTTCGGAAGGAGAGGAGAGACGAAATAAAAAAGAATAATTTTGCTAAATGACCATGATTAAGGTGCCAGAAGTAACACAAGCTTGATAATTTTTCGCTTCTGAAGTTCTCCGTTGAACCGTTTAATTTTTATTTTTATATTAGCTTTTAAAACAAGTCATGTGACTAAAATATTATAACTTCCATATTGCTTCAAGTGGCTCGCAAATAAAATCTCCTTTGTATCTTATGCTTTTTGTTTTCTTATGCTTTTTTATGTAGTTCTGTGCTTTTTTAAATTTTTTATCATTTTATGTTGTCTTATGGTTGGTTTTCTTCGGTTTTCTTAGGTTTCTTAGTTACCTTCGGTTTCTCAACCATTTAGTTCACAATTCTTTCTGTTATTTAGGTTTTTGGGTTATTTTAACCGTTATAAGAAAACATAAGAAAACAGAAGAAATAAAAGGCTTCAGTTCGTAGGAAGCCGGTTAAATTTAAGAAAAATATAAGATAAGAACTTAAGCAGTCATAAGAAATCGGAAAAAAAGTAAGGAGAAAGCACAAGAAATTAAGGGATTTGGCCCGGTACATAGCACTAATTTCGTTTACATGCGCGGGAATATTCGTTTTCGCGCACTTCCAAACACGTTTTTGGGTTGCTTTTTGACATTGTGTAGCCAAATGATTACGTAATTTGATATTTATTTGGTTTTACAGCGTCATACCTTCACAGTAGGTCAACAACACTACATACACACTGCTGTATTAAGATTGAAAAAAAACAACCAAACTCTCCATTAACAATCTTATTCCTTCCTGGCAAAGTGCCCAAAACTGCTGCGGCATTTCCCTTCATGAGTGCCCAAAACTGCTGCGGCATTTCGTAAGGAGAGAGTAATTCGAGGTCGTTTTGGTGAAATGGGGGGCCAAATGATTTGTATACGTAGGCGTGAAATCCGTTTTTGCGCGCAGCCTCCGGTTCGGGAGTTATGGCTGTTAGAAAATTCCAAAAAGTTTGAATGCATTCAGGTGTACCAAAAGTCTCGTGATGGACCGATCCCTTTCAAATTTTGCGTGTAAGTGCACATAACCATGGAGATCGTTCTTACACGGATCCAGACTTCCACGATTTTTTTCGAATTTTAAAATAAATTTTAAAATTTTTAAAATTCATTTTAAAATTCAAAAAACATGCTAGAACAGTGGATCGGTGTAAGAACGATCTTCATGGTTATGCGCATTTACGTGCACAATTTGAAAGGGATCCCCATCCATAATGAGACTTTTGGTACGCCTGAATGCATTTAAACTTTTGGAATTTTCTAACAGCCATAACTCCCGAACCGGATCTTGCGCGCAAAAACGGATTTCTTGCCTATGTATACAAATCTTTTCTCTACAAAATACCATAAAGCAACGCAAAAAAGTGTTTGGGAGTGCGCGACAGCGAAAGTTCCCGTAGATGCCACGAATTTAGTTCTATGTACCGGGCCAAATCCCTTAAGAGAACTAGGAAAATTGTGTAGTTACAGTATCACCATAACCACTGCCAGTCCCATTGCCGCTTCCAGTACCCATACCATTACGCTCACCACTACCAGCACCAGTGGCAGTACCACTATTAGGACCACTATCCTAACCACTATCATAATCAGTACCATTAACTAGAATTCCCCCATTTCACCAAAACGACCTCGAATTACTCTCTCCTTACGAGCAGGCTTCTTGCCAGGGGTAAATGAAATGGAACTGGGCACGGGCGATGCCGCGGCGACAGTTACAATAGAAAAACCGTAGGAAAGTGGCTTTTTGAGCCACTTTACTTTTTTTCCATTTTTTTAGGCCATTTGTTAACTGGCGCCGCGGCCCCCCTCCTAACCCCCCGAACTCGCGATGGCCCTGTAAACCCATAGCCTAGTGCGAATGCCAATGGCAGGAAAACGCAGCAGTTCGTACTCAATTCGTGACTACGTACCAGAGACCGAGTCCAGCCAGGTGGCAGGCCGGAAGCGGAAGGGGCCGTTGTCTTCGTCGCGCAGCGCCACGTGCACCCGCATTCCTGGCACGCCTGACTGCGAACGGGGAGAAGTGTGCTTAGAGTGCAGAAAAAAATGTGGCCATACGCGGCCAGCAGGAATCCAGCAGTGCTGCACGGTGGTGGAGTCGAAGTGGACCAAGACCCGGTGCTCGTCGAAGTCCTCGATGAAGCCCAGCCACCACGCTCCTTCGTCCGTTAGTACGGTTACTGTGTTCTGATAGCTAATCGTCTGGTCATTCACCGAGGCAAGGAGGCGGCGAAAACGAGGCAATCCGAGCGCTACTGGCAGTTCCATGCCCGGCACACTCTATAAGCGAACATTGGTTGCGATATTTCCCCCGGTAGTCGGCGCAAACGTTACCCCGTGGAGCATATGGTATATATGGAACTTGACTGCTCAAGAAGGCTGCGCTTGGCGAAAGTGCTAGCTTAGGCCTTAGCAGAAATTGGAGGACATTTTCCTTCGATTAACAATTTTTCTTCCAGCAGAAACTTTGAGAATACCGGATTTCTAATAGTATTTAGTGACCGTAAAAAAGTCCGTCCACAATTTTGTGAAGACATCATTAGGAATGAGACACTCAGATCTATTTGCACCGATCGCAAAGCGCGAGGTGTTGCGAGTTCGTTCTTAGGATGCACTCGCTGACTCGCAGCACCGCGTTATGTTAGACCATGTGCGTTGACAAGTTGTATGGCATATAATTAGGAACACGAAAATCATGAGCAGATGTGTGCCTGCCAATGGTAGTCTTTGACAATTCAGATTGGCTACATTGAGTTAGCCAGCCACTAATGCACACTAGAGTACAGTACTAGTGAGTCGGCGATGTCCGCCTGGGGAAGCAACCGGGCGCCGTAAAACGCATTTAATCAAGGGAGCAGACAGAAATTCGTTAGACACACGCTCTGTCTAACTCTGTGCTTTTGATTAAAAGCGGTGCCCGTTTTACGGTTTACGGCGGATACCGCCGACTCACTACTTTGGGATATAACGGGGGAGTTTCTCCGGGATGTACTGCCGCACATACTGCGGATGTACTTCGGGGTGCAATCAAAATTTCCAGATGTACTACAAGAAGTGCTGCACGTTGTTCTACATACATTTTATGTACAACAAAATGTACACTATAGAGGTTCATTTCTGTTGGCTTACCGCAAGTCAGACTTATAAAAAGCCAAGTGGCAGTGAGTACCAACAAATGACGTGTAAAAAACCCAATAATGCGATAACATACCAACTGTCACTGCCGCGATAAGTGAATGACCGAACTTACACTAAATCAGCCTGTCGATAAACAACCGAGTGCATGCACTTTATGCATCTTCGCATAGCACATGTAAAAACGAGCGCGAAAATGTTACTGTATATCCAATTACTCGTATCTTCAGTACATTGGTAAAGCTAATTACTGCCGTCTCGAATGACTACCTAGTTAGCATTAATATTGCTTTATAAATAATTATTGCGCAAAATTACCACCTAATTAGTAGTGAATGCCATCTCGAAGTCATTAAATCAATGGTAGCATAAGCATCTCTCTGCGTTTGTAATTATGTTAAATCTAAATTTGTTATTACACAGCGTCGATAACAGTACAGTATAACAGCATTAACGTGCAATGCAGTGCATTTGCATTGCACTCACCGTGTACACCGTGTAACATGCGCAATGCATGGATAAGTCAACGATGCCCAACGGAAAATCTAGTCGAGACTAGATTTACCGTTGCGCAATGTTGCCTTAAAGTGTGCATGTTTTGACTGTTGCAGCAAACCAATGCACAACGCTTGCGTTATCTCTGAATGACACATAGGAGCATGACGCACAGTCCGTTGGGCTGCATTATCATAAGGCAGTCAGAACTGAAAGTACCTACTGTGTGTCTGTAACGTACAGACGCAAGCAGGCATATTCGACAGCTTTTTGCCAGAAGAGTGTGTTTAATAAGTTTTTTTTAACCTAACGATAAGAGGACCTAAAAATCTTAAGGAATCCTAGAAACCAGATAAAACCCAAGAAACCTAAGAAACCTGAAGAAATGAAAAGTGTTCCCAAAATAACTCGGGAAGTCATGTACGAATTTGTGGTTGCCACAGCCAGTCCTCACTGGGCACTGCGGCTGTTGCCGTTGACAGGCACATGGCCCGCCGCAGCCTATAGATTTCTACGCCAACTAACGATCCATCTATACAAGTGATGTTACGGCCGAACCCATAACGCGGCGATCGGAATTCGAGCTGTTTAACAGGCAAGTGCGCTGAGGAAACGAGCGATTACAACCATGAGCGATCAAAAACTTGTGCTAGCAAAGTTCTTAAGCGCTCATCTTTTTGATCGCTCCAATGAACTGATCAAAAAATTTCGCAAGTTATCTTAATCGGCCAACTTCTTAATCGGTAGTGAATAGCAATTAAGAACTTTCACTGGGAGGTAGCTTTAGATCAGCCAATAGTGGTGTTCTGAGTCAAGGCGCTGTTTGAGATTCAGTATAACTCTTAATCGCTCAAGTTTTTAATCGCTAGAATAGATTGATTTCACAGTAGCGTAGTCCCCGCCTCTGTAACGTAGAAGTGTGAGATGTATCGCGAATTAGAGGCGCCGATGAGGTTTTAAAACTTTTCATCGTTTAGTCAGCTTGGACGAGTTAGCAGCACCCCATCAGTCCATTAATTAGAGGTTGCTTTATTTTTTGAGTATTTTTGGTTTCTTATTAAGTACAAAATCTATACTACGCGCGGCGCCCCATAGTTTTGAGATCTCTATAACCATAAAACTTCTGGAAAAACGGACAACGCCATTAGATCCGGGATAGTTCAGAAGTGGCCGGCATTGTTTTTTTTTATGAAAATATCGAGCCGGCATCAAGCCGGCATCAAGACCAGATTGATCCAACCCATCTTAAAGGTCACCTTGAAACTTAGAAATATTTGCCTAGATACAATACAAAATTACAAATTAATACCAATTGACATAATTATCACACTAATTAAACCGAAAAATAAATATATTATTGTACTTATTCAAACACTCGCGTTATTCAAACATTGCTGCCGGTGTTGCCGAGCTCGAAACACGTTTAAAATCAACCGATATAAAATGTAAAAATATCAAATATAAAATCAATACGAAAAATCACTGGACGAGTGAGTGACCGAAACAATATCGCCGACCACTGAGCGGAATCTCTAGATGAGTGGGTGACCGAGCTACCACCACTGACCAGTAAGAAAAATCACTAGACAAGTGAGTGACCGAAACACCATTACTACCCACTGAGCGGAATTTCTAGGTGAGTGAGTCATCGAGCGGGCTTTGCTCTTGCTCACCTAACGGGCTCTGTGCACTGGACAGTAGTTGTAGCAGGGTCACATCCTCACCTAGCGATTTTTCTCCTTACCTAGCGATATTTCTTACTGGACAGGTTGAGCTCGGTCAGTCAATCACCTAGTGATTGAGTGCGTCAAAAAATCGCTAGGTGAGTACGTGACCGAGCTACCACCACTGTCCAGTGCCCAGAACCCGTTAGGTGAAAGAGTACCCAGATACCACTACTGTCCAGTGCACAAACTCCGTTAAGTGATCTAGTGACCGAGCTACCACTACTGTCTAGTGCATAGATCCCGTTAGGTAGATGGGTGACCGAGCTACCAATACTGTCCAATGCATAGATCTCGTTAGGTAGATGGGTGACCGAGCTGCCGATACTGTCCAGTGCACGAACTCCGTTAAGTGATCTAGTGACCGAGCTACCAATACTGTCCTGTGCAAATATCCCGTCAGGTAGATGGGTGACCATGCTACCAATACTGTCCAGTGCACAGAGCCAGTTAGGTGAACGCGTGACCGAGCTACCGCTACTGTCCAGCGCATAAACTCCGTTAAGTGATCTAGTGACCGAGTTACCAGTACTGTCCTTTGCATAGATCCCGTTAGGTTGGTGGGTGACCGAGCTACCAAAGCTATCCAGTGCACAGAGCCCGTCAGGTGAACGTATGACCAAACTGCAACATTACTGAGCAAAATAGAGCAGGGCCTGCTAAGTTCTTAATGGGTGACCAATCTAGCACCATTGTCCAGTCTTAGCGTCCTTTCAGTTACTCTCGTGGGTGATACTCTCGTGGGTGATTAGATTCGGATGGTTTTTCGCTAAGAAAATTTAACAAAAAATGATCTGTAAAGTCAAAGTAATTGCGTTCGACTGCACGAAACCAAAACATCCATTTTTTTATAAAATTTTTGTTATCGGGCTCTTCAGATTTATCCGTTCTAAGTTAACAATCCGCAAACCGGCCAAGGAGTTTAGAACCCAAGAAACGCGGAAGCGAAGCCGAGGCTGTTTCTTGTATGATATATGATAAGGCATTAAAAAGTTATCCCTTGTTTAAGTTATTCATTATTTTTGCCGGCTCACGGGGTGGAGAGGCAAGCCGACACTAGAGCCTGAAATGAATGGAACTTCTCAAGAAAATTCAGCCTATGTAGCCTATGCTAACCAATTGCCTAGTACGTCAACGATTTGATTGGTTACAGTTGTCCAATCAAGCAGGGTTCAATGGAAGACGCTGTATACTTATAGAACAACAACAACAACAACAAGATTTGGAAGATTGAAGATTAGAAAAAACCTTAGTCTATGGGAAAGTCAAGAAACCTTCCACTGCAGAATCAACCACGCCGCGGCCGCCGCCACTGTGCGCAGCAGAGTAAACTGTAAAGCAGCCAGAAGCGAAGATGTGGTGTTGAAAGACCGTCATACCATACTCTGCATGGTGGGGTGTTGTGGAATCGGGTGATTTCGTTTATGGCCGAAAGCCAGCTGACGCGACATTGGTGTTGAGAATAAGGAGGATGGGGATCCGGTGGAGCCCCCCATGGGGTGTTGGCTGTCTTGTACGTGGCCTTCCTGGGCTTCTATCTGTGCTGGGGGAGACGCTGTGGCCCCTGCTGCCCGTCCCCCTCAACTGGGCCTCCACCTCCGGCCACAGTAGTCCCCGCGTCAGCGTGGCGGGTGTCCTCTGCGGCGCGGTGGTGGCGGCGCAGCGCGTGGTGAATCGCTTAATTTGGGAAATGTGGTCTGAACAGGCATGCGCCGCTCCAACACCTGCGAACTGGTCTTCGAAGACTGCAAAGTGCCGGCGGAGAACGTGCTCGGCCAGGTATGATGACATATTTTCCAGTTGCCGTCACGCCGAGAGCATCAACTGACGAAGTGGTTGGTTACTGCAGATCAATAAAGGCGTAAAAATCCGATGTCGGGGCTGGACACGGAGCGCCTGATCCTGAGCGCCGGGCCGGTGGGCATCATGCAGGCCTGCTGCGACACCACCTTCGACTACGTGCACCAGCGCAAGCAGTTCGGCAAGCAGATCGGCACCTTCCAGGTACCGTTACAGCCTGCGGATACCTGTATTTCTTGGGAGTGTACTGACGGCTGTTGTTGCAGTTGATGCAGGGGAAGATGGCGGACATGTACACGACGCTGAGCGCCTGCCGCTCCTACGTGTACAACGTGGCGCGCGCCTGCGACGCCGGCCACTTCAGCTCAAGGACTGCGCCGGCGCCATCCTCTACGCCGCCGAGTCGGCCACGCAGGTGGCGCTGCAGGCCATCCAGGTCGGTGCTAAATAAACACGGGACCGTCTATCTATCGTTGTAGCTTCACGACTGTCTGACCTGTTGAATTCAACAGGCGCTGGGCGGGAACGGCTACATCAACGACTACCCCACCGGGCGGTACCTGCGCGACGCCAAACTGTACGAGATCGGCGCCGGCACCAGCGAGGTGCGCCGCTCCCTCATCGGCCGCCGGTTGAACGACGAGTACGGCATGTGCGCCTAGTGCACGGGAAGGGAAAAAGATTGGCTCCGTCCGCACTCATAACCCGGGAAGAGGAGCAGGAAGCCGCTTTGCTGTTTTCGGCAACAGATCATTTTACCGAATTTACGGCGTAATTGGTTCAGTATGGAATTTACGGGTCGTTTCACGAGATGATAGAGTAGTATGCGACTGATTCATTGCACAAAGGGTTGTCGGGTTGTTGACGCTCTACCTGGAGTTTGTCGAGCGCAGTCAGCGCACACTGGTAGAGTTAAAGGTTGGGGATAATTAATTTCAGGGTTTTATCTGTTTTACCAGCTGTTCATCGTTTTACCATACGATACTTGTTCTGTTTAATCGCGAAGGAAGGTTGTGTTAACTTTTTACTCATTTTGAAAAAGATTTACGATTACATCATTACCGTTTTAACAAGGCTGCGCTATTCTGTATTGCTGGGAAATGGTATTGCGAAAAAAAGATTCATCCCGGCTGCGGTTAGTGCTACCGCCCCTGAGTCTGCTCAACGGGTAGGTTTGGCAGACGCGTGAGTGCTGGTGGCGAATTTTTCAGAAACTGTTAGTGTTAGACACTTTTACGTTTTACCCAGGAGTAGCTTTGTCGATGCTTTGGTAGAACAGGTTTTTGATTTGTTTTACATATTCAGAACTGCGATAGGACGTGTTTGGGAATCTCACAAGATGAGTTTGAAATAATTAAAGATACTGCTTGTACTGGACAGTGACTAAACGAGACCCCCATCGACCTCGGGACTTTTTTTTAGACCAAATCTGACCTCGGGATAATTTTCAGCGCATTTTTCTGATATAGAAACCATTTTTCAAAATGCTTTTTGAAAGAAAAAATCTCTGACTGCCGGGGCCCCTCAGTAATCTTGGGCGGTTGTAATGGCGCCGCTAACAAATCTTTTATTTTTGCATTTCAAAAATTTTTTCTGGGTAAATCGATATCGCTGATTCTGAATATGTTGTTAGAAAAATTGTATTAGTTATCTGAAGGAAGAATTTTGCGTTTTAAAAATTTTAGGTGGATTTTACAAAATTTTGTTTTTATCAAAAAATTTTCTTTGCTTCGACTCGAAAAAATTTTCTGGCAACATATTCAGAATCAGCGACATCGATTCACCTAGAAAAAGTCTCTAAAGTGCAAAAATAAAAGATTTGTTAGCGGCGCCATTACAACCGCCCAAGATTACTGAGGGGCGGAGGGGGCCCCGGCAGTCAGAAATTTTTTCTTTCAAAAAATATTTTGAAAAATGGTTTCTATATCAGAAAAATGCGCTGAAAATTATCCCGAGGTCAGATTTGGTCTAAAAAAAAGTCCCGAGGTCGATGGGGGTCTCGTTTAGTCACTGGTACTGGATATTCATGTTGTTGAGTGAGTGGATGGCAAATGGTCGACGCAGTCACGCAGCCCATACACTATACAGACCATGCAAGGAACGACTTGCAACGCCGTGGGCCTGGTTGAGTGATGTGATGATGGATGACGACTGACAGACTGCTCGGCTGTTTATTACAAGTGTGAGTTGTAATCAACGGATTTATTTTTCTGGATGACGGGATCAGCTCATGATCGTACTGCACAGTGTCGTGTTTACTGGATCGGAATCCCTGCGAGTCCGGGTGTCTGATGAATAACTTTTAAGCAGCAGGCAAGTCCGCTGACTGCGATTTGGCCAGAGCTGGGATCCTTGCTAGCTGCCTGCAGCTGCTGCGTCTTTCCTCTGGAGGCAGGGATATAATTTTTGTTGCCCACTGCTTACAGTTAGCTGAATGTGCAGACGTGATCGTAGTAGTTTTCCTCCCAGTCACAGCCTCTCGCGCCCAAAGTAAAAGGCTCTCTTGCAGGCTAAGCTCAGTTTGAGAGCTCAGCACGGCGCTGATCAAGACCAACCGTGAGCATCATCATCAGTATTTATCATGGATATTCAGCTGGGCACGTGGGAGAGTGCCCGTGCAGCAGCAGTAGGAGCAGGGGATGCCTCCACGCAGAACGGGAAAGATGCCTCCACCGCTGTTCAGCGTCCGCGGATCTTGCCCGTCCTAGCCTCCCTGGCGCCCCTGGCGCCCCTGGTCCCCTCCACCTCGCCCCCCTCCACGGCGCACACTCACTCGCCCAGCACCAGCACCCCCACCCCCACCACCACCGTCCCCCTCCCCGCATCCCCGGCAGCGGATCGCCCTTCATGGGCCGCCGGGGCCTGCAGGTGGGCCTCAGCCGTGCTGCCAACGCCAGCAGCAGCGTCAGTGCTGTCCCCTCCGAGCCCGTGTCGCCGTCCCGTAGTAGTAGCACTACCTCCGCCGTCCCGCCTTGCTCCGGCACGGCTGGGGGCAGCAGCGACGCCTCCAGATCCTTCACAACCAGCAGCACTGCGCCCCCGCCCCCGTCGCCCCACATCAGTGCCAGTCACCCCAAGATCAAGACCAACGGCTCTCTGCCGCGCCACCACGCCGCCGCCCACGAGGAACCCTCCACTGTGACTGCGTCGCTCCCGCGGTACAATTCGCCCGAGCCGCTGGTGGTCGCTGTGTCAGAGCACCCAAGCGCCCCCGTCACCCACCAAGAAGGTACGTCTCAGTTACGATCAGTTCGTAGCCAAAACACGGCTTTTGCGCTATTTGTACACGTTGTCGTTTGTGTCTGCAGTCAGCGAATACATGGACGGCGAGTCTCCCGCCTCTGTTCCTATTCCAGGAGCTGCAGGGCCCTCCCCGGGCGCCCGCAGCGAGCCGGCGCCCATGAAGAGTCGCGGCTCAGCGCCGCCGACAGCGACATCTGCTGCTTTGACGTTGGCCGGCAGCGGCATGTCGGGCTACTCGCTGGACGCCCTGGACATCTTCCACTACAACCTCGCCCCGCCCCCGCAGCCCGCCGTGGCCCTGCGCCGCCAGATGAGTCTGCGCGTCACCAGCTCGCATCTGCCGCTGACGCCCGACTCCGTCTCCGGCCGCCGCTTTGCCCACTGCCTACAGGTATCGCCCTGTAGATTCACACGAAACTCACATCTGCATTTTCTTTGATTAAACTAATGCATGCGTTCTCGTAGCTTTAAATAATGTATTTCTGCTTCAAGTTTCATTAAAGCAAATGAAACTTTTCATGCACTTGTTGCTTTGAATTGAACTTGGCTTCAAACGCATGCAGAGGACTATTTAAGGAGTCTCAGTTCACTTGTAAGTTGTATTAACGTTCAGAAATTTTGCTTATTAATTTTTCTTGAGGCTCGTAAGCTAGTGAATCAGGTTGTGTCTCGTTTTCCAAACGCTCAGAGTTTCGTTAGAAAGTTTTCGTTGCGTTAAAATGCACGGGCAGGTTTCTGCGTGTACATCTCCGATTCTCCGTTTCGCTGCAGTGTATCGCGGAACTGAAGCGGCAGCTGCAGGAGCTGGACGTGCAGCAGTCGGAGATGGTGATGGAGCTGGATCTGGAGCGGGCCTTGCTGCAGGAAGAGTGTCAGCGCGTGCTGCACACCAGCCAGTCCCAGAGCAACACCACCAGCCGGCACCCGGCGCACCTCTCCTCGGCCGCCGCCGAGCTGGGCCAGCTGAAGAGCAGTCTGCAGGCGCTGGAGACCGACCTCAGCAGCGGCCAGCGCCGCCTGCGGATGCTGCAGCAGCAGCAGGGCGACGCCTGGGAGACCGCCGACGCCGTGGCGGTCCTCCGGGAGGAGCTGGAGTCCAAACGGCGCCACTACGAGAACCTGGAGTATCGCATCTTGGAGGCCGAGCTGGCGTTGGAGGAGGAACACAACGGGGAGGTGCTGGAGGGCGGCGGCGTGGTGGAGTCGCGCGAGGTGCTGGTGCTGAACGCGCAGATGAAGGCGCTGTACGACGAGACGCAGCGCCAGACCGACAGGCTCAGCGCGCGCCGCCGCCTCCTGCTGGAGCAGCTGCAGGCGCAGTACGCCGTGCTGCAGCGCATCAACGACCACCCCGTCTCCCAATCGTCGAGGACGCTTCCGGGGCGTTCGCGGGAAGTGTCGCGAGAAGTGCCGATTATCCTAGACACACCGGCCACCTCGTCGCAAGTCAGTCCGGCGTCCGTCGCGGACCCGGTTCCGTTGCGCATCAACCGCCCGTTGACGCGCTACCTGCCGCAGTGGGACAAGGAGGTGGATCTGGAGGAGTACCTGGAGTCGTGCGGGCACAACCTGGAGCTGTGCGGCCAGTTCGTGCAGCTGACGGCGGGCAGTCTGGCCGGCTGGCTGTCCAAGCTGTGCGGCCGCTTCGCCATCTACCGCAAGCGCTGGTTCCGGCTGGACTGCCGCCAGCGCACCCTCACCTACGCTAAGAGCAAGAGTCAGCGTGCCGGTCGCGTCGTGCTGGGCTTCGAGCACATCGAGGACGTGTTCGTGGTGCACGACGACGCGGGGAGTGGGAAGCGCGGGGAGCCGGGCAGTCCCGGGCGCGGCGCCAGCACCTTCTGCCTGGCCACGCTGCAGCGCCGCTTCTACCTGCGCGCGCCCAACGCCGCCGTCATGCGGCTGTGGGTGGAGGCGCTGAGCATCGGGGCGGAAGGCAGCACCTCCGATTACTGGCAGAACGCCTGACCAACGCGACGGCCCGGCGTTGGTCAGGCGCTACAGGCCCGCCAGTGCAGTTTGAAGATCTTCAACGGGGTTATTATTTGTACCGTATTTTGTCATTTTTAATTTCGTTTCAGTTTTTTTTATAATTGCGACACATGACAGTTCTTTGTAGAAGTCGATGTACATAATGTCAAGTTTTGTCTGCGTTTGCTCCGTGTAGTGCCTTGACTGCTGCACTAATTACCGTGGTGGATAGTGCATGCCTTCCCTCGTCGCTTAATCAGTACTGCAATAAACTTTTTCTCCCGGAAATTCCCTTGCTGTAGAGAGGAGTAAAACTGTAAAACAACAGCGTTCTTCAGATAGTATTAACAGCAATTCGGTACGGCAAGTTATTTTTGGAATTATTGCAAGTGTAAGTACAGTAACGACACTGAAACCAAATTCCCGTTGCCTTTGTTAACATTCATTCAAAAGCATTGAACAAGAATTAAGCTAAAATAGCCAGAAATTCAAAGGACTTGCACGAGCCGTCCTCGGATTAACGAGACAGCGAGCAAACCGTTGCGAGATCGACGAAGGGTCTGTAGAGTACAAAAAACAACCAAAAAGATGTTCAAGTATAAATCACAGGCACAACACGTGCGTGGTCTGAGCACAGATTCACGAGGAAAGGCAGTCGTTCATCCGGAAGTGCGAAGCATCACTGCGAAATCACACCCGACGCCAGTCAGGTAAATTCAAAGTGCAGACCTCCGCCTCTCGAGTCACTGCGGTCTCTGTCGCGGGCACATTCCAGGCGTCGCGGTGATCGGCCCGGATGTGCCACAGCATGTACTCCCGCTCCTTGCCGTCCCCGAGGAACTCTTTGTCGCACGGCTAGGAAACGGGAAATGTTAGGTATCCAGTGTCCACGTAGATTCATAATCAACTGCAATGATAGCTCTCAGGCGGACATACCCTGACCGGACAAGTGAAGCGCTGCAGGAACAGCGACCCGCTGCCGGGGCGGTCGTCGTCCGGCTGCCGGCCGTTGGTGATGGCGCCGCCGATGCGAGGGGACAGAATGCTGTCCTCCAGCGCTTTCAGCTTTTGCAAGCAGACCCACGGACATGATCAGTCTGACAAGAAGCCTAAGGAAGGGGCAAACCTTTTGGGCGTCTTCCGAGAATTCCCCGCGGTGGCCTCCAAGCAGCAGCTCCTCGTGCAGCGCCTTCACGTGCGTCTCCAGCTGGTTGTCGGCAGCATTGATCAACTCCCCGCACGCCTGCAATCCGGTTACATACTGTCTAGCATCTACAGTCTACCACCATGCCCGGCAATGTGACAGCATGCATGCTGTACAAGTACATGTTACGGTTAGGCTGCCTTACCGGGCATTTGTGGTAGAAGCGCGTGCTTGTAAGGCCGTATCTTTTTCCGTGCTCTAACAGCATGTGCACGTGCATGTTAAAAGCAGCCTGCGGGCCGCCGTCACCGATGGCGGTGTGACTGTCACTGCAGGGATCGATGTTGCAGATGTACTTGATGACGCCGTCGCCGCGCTGCACAAAACAACCGAGTTGCGCCTCACATAGACAGAACAGCCACGCTTCGTGCGCTACCCAGTACCCACCCTGTGGATTTCCGTGGGAATGATGATCCTGTCGGGAATGATCTGGCTGGGGAACATCTTGTCCTTCTCGCGCGTCCACGCCGGGAATGTGAAGCGGCGGGCGCGCTCTCTGTAGTACAGACGCGTCTGCAAAGCAGGCAATTAATGATAAATCATCGACCGTCTGGGCACACTGTCGGCCTTACCTTGACTTTTTCCGGGTCTTCGCCGGGGAGCGGCTCGGCCGACAGCAGCGCCACGCACATGGCCTCGTAGTACTTGCGGTGGCGCCTTTCCAGGTGCGCGGTCATGTGCGAGTTCATGTGCGAGGGGTCGAAGAGCACCGTCGCGCACTCTTTGCGTGCGTTGCACTTGGCCGGACACGGACACACAAAGTTCAGCAGGACGTTCTTCAGATCGTGCTTGTTCTGCAGATGCGCCTTCAGGAAGGACGGGGACGTCGCGAAGAATTTCTTGCAGGCCTCCTCTTCAGCGTAGGGGCACGCCAGCGGATCCAGCACGAACTGCCAAGACAAGCGCACTTATTGATCAAGCCAAAGCTGCGATTCATCAAACAGTCTGACTGCAGTTGAGTGACTCACGCTGACTGTGCCCATCAGCAGCACGTGGTCCATGTTGGTTGTTGTCGATCGGCGAAGGCGGATTTTATCGCGGATGCTGAGCTTCTTCACATTCCTAACCTTGTCGGCGGGTCTCTCCAACGCAGCACAGAATTTCTGCAACCAGTACTTATACGTTAGTCTGCTTGTACAATGCGCATACTTACATTCTTACAAGTTTATTAGTATCTTACAAATATAATATATACACACTGCCGTCAAACAAAACTTGCAGTCTATTTTCTGACAAGAGAAATACACATAGACAAACTAAACACTGTACGAGAACGCTAAATGCGCGTCGGATTTGCAAAAAGTTGGAGTGGTTCAACTGAAAGTGGTTGAAAAAGAATAAAAATGATCGAAGAGTCGCAAGACTGAAGCTCGGATCTGTATACAGTATAGTATAGTGTATAGTAGTTATACGGTTATACCCACCAGCCAAGGACGTGTGCTGTCTGCCGCGACTTTCTCCATGTTTTCTGCAGATCCCCTGCCTTGGTCCGATGGCAGAGTCGCTTCCGTAACACCGTGTAGAGGTTCCTGGTTCGACCGGCTGTTCCCTGGCGAGGACTGGGCTGACGGTGTGGCGTCACTGTGCGACATTCGGTCCATGGTAGGCGCAGCTCCGACCGACTGTCGTTCCCAGATTCCCAGGTCTTCTTCGTGCTCGGAAGGCGATAACACAGTCGAATCGCACATGGCCTCCGTAACTGGAATGCGGCGGGCTTGAAAATTCAATGGTAAAAGGGATGGTACAACTTAAGAAACCTTAGAAACTAACTAGAAATTCGGAACAAGTCTGAGTCTGACTGACTCTGACACGAAGAAAGCATACTGAAATCGAAATGCGAAGAAGTATTACAGTATTACTGGCACTTTGTCACTGCTTTCCAGAACTCAGAACTGCAAAACGTGCAAGATGCCAACTGCCAGGAACGGAGCCACTGACGGAACAAAAGCCGTGTCAGGCTGCCACGCCGGGGCGGTGCCAGCGCTTCATTCGCCGCAAGTCCTCACGCTTCGTAGTTCGTTCAAATTCTCGAGAACGTTGACTTGTCCTAGTGATTTGTAGTCTTATTACGCATTTGTGACCATATACTCATACTACTAATCATTGTTGATGGTTGAATTTAAAACAGTCAGAGGATATCTGAGTTAAAAAGGCGGATTTCCACTAATCGGTACGAGATCCGGAGATGGACAGGATTCCAACATTTGTTATGTGAGGAGAGAAGCGGCTCACGTTCAGCGACAAAATCTTTCAAATGATTTCAACGTATTGCGCCGTGGTGCAGTGGTACTGCCTACGCGGATCTAACGACGTAGCCGGGGTTCGATTCCCCCATCGGCGCCTTTTTCAGCCGTTTCTCAGTTTCCAGTGGATAGCGCCCTGCTTATTGTTATAATGTTATTCTATGAAAACTGGATGGGCGGAAGAGAAGTTAGCCGCGGAGAACAAAATCCTGGCACAGACAATTAGTACTTGCACTGTATTTATATAACTAGTACGATAACAGGTATAAACAACTAGAAACACCCGCAAACATAAAAGACTTGCACGAGCCGTCCATAGACGAGCAGGACAACGCGAGATTGGCGTAAGAGAGCCGTAAATACAGAAAATATCTACAAAAATGATAAAATGACTCGTAGGAATCAAAATTCGGCACAGCAGGCGCTTGGTCAGGTGCGTGAGCAGCTCAAGTCGTTTCTCCGCCAGCACAGATGAGCCAGCCAGCACGAAGCATTACTGCGAAAACACAGGACGTTGGTAAGTACTGGTGGAAAGGGAAATATCTGTACTGCGCTTGAAAGCATAGACTGTGTCGTCTACCTCTTGTTCCAGCTCGTCCGCGGCCACGTTCCAGACGTCCCGGTGTTGGGCGCCCACGTGCCAGACCATGTAGTCCCGCTGACGCTTCTCCCCCAGGAACGCCGTGTCGCATGTCTGGAAAGCGCCAGGATGATCATCCCAACAAGGCCACAACGACCGAGAATGCGCATCGGGCGTATCATTAAGTACTTTCATCGCAAAACAATACGTTACGCCACCCAACTGCTATCCCGTAAATTAAGTCAAAAAAGGATAACATACGACTGACAGTATTAGCCATAAGTATAGCTCCATAATTCCATTAACTACCGTATAATTTCTTGAATAGCCAGAAAAACTAAAGAAAAGCGCTAGCTGTCTAAAAGAAAAGCGCTAGCTGTACCGCGACAGGACACTTGTAAAAGTGCAGAAACAGTTGGCTGGCATCGTCCGGCGGCAGACTGTGGTTGGTGAGGGCCTCGCCGATGCGGGCAGTGGGGATCTGGTCCTCCAACGCTTTCCGATACTAACAAACAAACCCAAATACCGTACACCGTATATTATGCCGCTGAAGCGAGGCTGATTGACCTGCGTACCTTCTTGGCGGCCTCCGAGTAGTCCGCGCTCCAGCCCAGCATCTCGGGGTGCAGCGCCTTAACGTGCGATTCCAGCTGATGATCACCGGCGTACACCATTTCCTGGCATACCTGCAAACACTGCCCTGTACGTCCAACCGACTGCATGTCTTGACCACGCTGCTTTCCAAACCTCCGTAGCCGGGCACTGGATGTAGAAGTTGGTGCCCGGATCGAAGCGGGACTCGTGCTGCGTCCACAGGTGATGCTGCACGCTCCCGGGAGCGCAGGTGTGTCCCTTCGGGGCTTTCTCTTTGCGGCACGCATCAATCTTGCAGATGTACCGGATTTGCTTGTGCTGCATGAAACAACCGGGTTAGTGCTTGACACGTTGACATGACACGTTCCCTGTCGCCACACCTCGCCAGTCGCCACCCACCTCGTCGACTTTCGTCGGGAAAACAATCCGGTCGGGAATGATCTGGCTGGGGAAGAGCTCCCCCTTCTTGTTAGTCCACCCCGGGAAGTACACGCGGCGAGTACGGCGCATAAAATTCTGACGTTTCTGCCAATGACAGATGCTGCAGTCATACTATATTAACCGCTCATTTCGTGCTTCGCAATGTTGCGCTGATTATCGCCTAATCTCTCCGTAAACACATTACACAGTGCGTTGGCTTCACCTGGGTGACCTGCGGATCCTCGCCCTTCTCGGCCGACACCAGCGCCGCATAGACCTCCTCAGAGTACTTCCGGTGGTCCTCCCGCAGGTGCCGGCGCATGTACATGTCGCCGGGATCGAAGCGCACCACCGGGCAACTCTTCTTGCCGTTGAACTTGCCCGGACAGGGACACGGAAATTCAGGATGACGGTGCGCAGGCCGTGCTGGGTGCAGGTGCGCCTGCAGCAAACGCGCCTCATGAGTGCGGAACGCTTTGCAGGCCGTCTCATGCTCGGCGAAGGGGCACGGTAAGGGATCCAGCACGAACTGCCATCAATCAGAACATTCATTTCCATCAATTATTCTCAGTTGAACGTTTCAGCTGAATTGAATACGAGTAATGCAGTAATAACACAGACCAGAGAATAATTTAACTAATATTCAATTTAACGGAATTTAAGGCTGTGCTTTGTTAAGAAAAATTCAATTTTAATTGATCGAACGGCAAAATGCGATAAACCGTATTATTATACTGACCAGGGCACATAGGGGTCCTCCAAATTCAGAAAAATTTCATATTTTGTAAAATGGTAGTATACTATCGTAGTATGCTTAAAAAAATATTTTCATCTGCCATGGTCAAGGGGGCGTGGTCAGACAGCATTTAAAAGTTTGCGTGTTATCACATACTATGCAATGCAGCGAGCGGAGTTATTCGTAATTAGTTTTATATTGAATTTTTACTGTATTTACTTTTTAGCACCGTGAACTTTTGCAGCTGTCCAGTTGTGATGTAAACGATGCCCACGTGCGGCGGCTCGTGTCATTGCTGCCTGAGTACACATTTTCAAAAATTTAATCAGTTAGTATTGTATGTAGTAAACCGTGCAAAAAACTTCTTTTACTGATTAGCAGATATGTACTCGTACTGCCCTTCGTAACAAATTTTCGAGAATGTGTATTTAGGCAGCAGTGACACAAGCCGCCGCACGTGGTCTTCGTTTACATCACCACTCGATAATTTCAAAAGTTCACGGTGCTACAGTAAAAATTTAATATAACTAATTACTAATTACGAATAACTCCACTCACTGCATTGCATAGTATGCAATCAATGCAAACTTTTAAATGCTGTCTGGCCACGCCCCCTTGACCATGGCAGATGAAAATATTTTTCAAGCATACTGTAGAAGTACGTTTGGATGACGGCTCTGTACTGTGTTACTGTGTATACGAAAACACGTAGTAACCGCGACCGCAAACTTCTGCACTGCCGGGGCTGCTGCCAAATGGCAGTGCGCGCGCCGCGCACATCAGACATCAGCAGTGAAACAAGGTTTCAAGGACCTAAAATTGGCTAAAAATGTTAAAATTACTAAATGTTAAATTAAAAAAATGTTAAATTAAAGTAATCATTTCTTCTGCCTCACCATCACCTCGTCCGCCGTCCTCTTAACCATACTTTCCGCCAGTCAACCGTATAGTTTTGACGGCAATTTGACAGAAACATCCCCTTGGGGTTTTTCATCCGGACAGGCATTGTCTGGGGATAACTCAAACTGGTCCGTTGTCAAGCTCTTGACGCTGTTGACGAGTGATCGGTTGTCGCTGCAGCCGTCGAGCCAGTGCTCTACGACATTGCTTGTCGGGCTTCTGCTCCCTTATCATTCTCTTCCTCGCATCTTGATGTGGACACAGTTGTGCGTATGTCGGACATTAGTGCGCAGAATACATCGACACATACGAGTAATACGACTAAAGGAAGCCACAACTCACAAGACAAGACGTGAACTCGTGAAGATGAAACAAGTTAGAAGTTGTATCGAAATTCATCGAGGTTCGTTTGAATCATTTCAAGAACCGACGGAACAAAGGCCGTATCAGACTGCCACACCGGGGCGGTGCTGGTGATCATTCCGTTAGCATGAAATTGAATCATCTGCCATGGAGTGGCATGGGCTCGGCTGATGGACCATGATCCATGCGTGTGCACTGTGCAGTGCAGTGTGCAGACTGCAGAGCTGAAATTTATTATTTACCGAATTTTACGATAAGAAATTTCATCCAGAATTTCTTGGTTGTTTCTGCTCGTTCAAAAGTGACACTATCATTGGTTTGTTAACCTTAAATCAACTCCGAACGTTATGGACGCCATGTCCGATTCGACGACTGTGTTGCCGTCTGCGGAGGATGCTGATGATCAGGGAATCGGAGAAGAAGCACAAGCGCGCACCTGCGTTTCGCCAACCGACGCCACCGTCGACCGAGCATCTCACAGCGATTATGGCTCCTCGTCAGCCAAATCATCCCCTGACACCAAATCATTCCCCCATTTGAACAAAAAGCCCCAACAGACTGTTATCGAAGAGGGGAAACTGTTGGGACAAAACCGGAGGTCGGCGAAGCACGTCAAAAATGTCTCGGCAGATATGGAACAGGTTATTATTAGACTGGTTAGGAAATTGGAATACTTGTGTTTCAGTTTGTCACTGTTTGTGACAAGTTATTTGTTATCATTACTTATATTCGTTTAGTTATCGTTCACTTTTCAGTGTTCACGATCTTAGAGCTGTGCACAGTGAATTCGTACCTGTTAAGTGTTTTGTATTTTTATCAACTAATGATGTTTCTGTTGCTGAAAAACTGGGAGTGTTTCCTTAATGTTAGTAAAAACAGTTGAACGTTGCTGTTATTGTAGAACTTGTGTGACGCGTTGAAGAGACCCGACTACAATGCGAAAAGACTGAACATCAGCATCCCACACAAGATCATCGTGCGGGCCTCCAAGACGGCCGACCACGTGCTGGTCATGGGCACTGTTAGTGTAAGTACAGTATGCCTGTCAAGCCGCATTATAGGCGAGTTTTGTGGCGAATCGCACCTTAAATTGGCATCAGTTATTTTTTGAAGGAAATAATTTTCGGTAATATATTTATTGTCATGCTGTTGTTATTAACAAATGAACTAGAGTAAATTATTTTTAATTCTGTCAGATATTTAATTGATTGTTCTCGTTTAATCGCTTATATAATTTCTAAATTTCATTAAACTTAAATTTAAATTAAATCATTATTCTAATCAAAAAGGATCTGACACAATTCAATAGGAAATTTACATGAATGCGCCGGTGTTGCAGTTCATGATGGATCCGCTGCCATGTCCCTACGCCGGACAGGAGGCGGCCTGCCAAGAATTCCGCGCCTGCGAGCCGCGCTTGCTGAAGGCGCATCTGCAGTGCAAGCACGACCTGCGCAACGTCATATTGAACTTTGTGTGTCCCTGTCCGGGTCGATTCAACGGCAGGCAGGGCTGCCCGGTGGTGCGCTTCGATCCCGGCGACATGTACATGCGCAAGCACCTGCTGGAGGACCACCGGAAGTACTACACTGCGGTGCGTGCAGCTCTGGAGTCGGTCGAACCAGGAGAGGATCCGCACGTCGGCAAGAGCGACAAGAGTGCTGTGTTGCTGTAGTTGGGGAGGAATTTGTCAACCACGGTATGGAGACCAGTAACTGCTTGTCATTTGATGATTTGTAGAAGCGTAACAAGTTTCTGCGTCGTGCCCGCCGCATGTTCTTCCCCGGATGGACGCGCAGCAAGGGGGAGCTCTTCCCCAGCCAGATCATCCCGGACAGGATCGTTATTCGCACGGAAATGGGCGACGTGGATGGCGAGGCATGGCCGTGATGTTAATGAGGAATTGGTTGATTAATTATGCTAGCTGTTGAATGGCTCGGTTGTTTCGTGCAGCAGCCCGGGAAGCGTGAAATCAAGTACATCTGCAACATTGATCCGTGCCTGGCTCACAAGATTGGCGGTCCGCAAGGTTCGCGGCAAATGCATCATCACCTGGTGATGCAGCACGCGTCCCGCTTCGATTTGGGCACCGACTTCTTCCACGCATGCCCTGCCAAAGAGGTGAGAGAGCAGCGTGGTTTCTGTAGGTCGGCAGTTATTACGTGAGACTCCACTAGCGTTTTCCAGACACTCTATGTAGATGCTGCGTAACTACGGCTAATTTTGGTGAAGCTAACTGATACTCCCTGTCATTTTCGTCGCTTTATTCTTCTTCACGTCAGGTTTTGTATCTTAAAAGTGGCAACGTATTTTATTGTATATAAATCTGGCGGCCACGACCAGACACTACTGCTTTAAATTTAACTGATGAAGTTGCGTAGAAGGAGACTTCGTGTGTGCCACTGACTGGTTATGTACATGAATGAGTACATGGCAGGTTGTTGCTGCAACTTGCAGGTGTGTGAGGAAATTGTGTTTGCCAGCGATCACCAGCTGGAATCTCACGTCAAAGCCAAGCACCCTGAGTTATTGGGCTTAGGCAAAGAATACTTTGAGAACGCCAAGAAGGTGAATACTGCAGTGTTGCACACTTATTGTTAGTTCGAGTGCGCGCAAGTCGTGCAATAACTATGTGGGTTTGTTGTGCAGAATCGGGAAGCGCTGGAGGACAAGATTCCCTACGTCCGCATCGGAGAGGCCCTCACCAACGGTCTGCACACTGACAAAGACAGCAAGCTGTGTCTGCAGCGTTACAGGTGCCCTGTCAAGGTACTGCCGTTAGTTTTGTCTTATAGATATTTCCCGAAGTACGTAGATATTCTGCCTATATGCTGTTGGAAATTGTTAAATTAATTTGGATATTGTTAACGTTTTTGGTTTGATTTTCTGGGAGAAAGTTAGTACTGTTATCAGTGTTATGCGTGTAAGTTGAAAGTTGTGCAGTAACACGCCCGGGTCGGCCCGCGCCTTCTCCGTTGTACCTGTGAGAATACTGTACCTAACCGAAGTGACTGTTTGCAGACGTGCGACAAAGTCTTCCTGGGCGAGACCACGTCGGCGCGCAAGTACATGGTCTGGCACGTGGGCGCCGACCACGAGGCCGACTGGAACGTGGCCGGGGAAGAGGTAACGTTCTGCGCTTTGAATTGACATTGTAATGGTCCATTAATGCCCGAATCGCTTGCGCAGTGATGCTCTGTGCTTCCGGATGAACAACCTCCTCGGATCGCGAATCTGTGGACCGAGAAAATTATGTCGCATTTCCGTTCCTATCTATAATCTGTAAATTTACTGTAGTATTTGGTTTCTTTTTTTTTACGACAAATAGACGGCTTTTCGCCCATCTCGCAACGCTTTTTTCGCTGTTCGGTTCATCGGCAACGGCTCATGCAAGTCCTGCGTATTTCCGGCTGTTTAGCTGATTCCGTAAATATCGTATGTACTCTGTATCATTGTATTGTAAGTTGGTAACTAGTAACTGTTTTGTACGAGTATAGGTGTATTGCTGCAGATAAATCTAAGATATTAGTTTTACAAGCCCAGCACGGATGAATATTGGCCGATGACTATTAAAAACTAAGTAATTCCAAGGATGTGTTGCTTTGCGGTCGCTTACATACTGTCATAATATTAATAAACCCGTACGTATGTTTAGTAATATCAAAGTCTTTAAAGCTTACGCTCAAGTCCTGTCAGGTAATATAGATATTATGATACACTTTACATAAGTTAATCGAAAAACGGACTGTCTCTTGTACATAGTACATACAGTACATAACTTGCAATGATCACTAACGTGATGATGACTAACGTGTTAAGTTACATGAATTTTTACTTTGTATTGTACTCGTACAGATACTTATTAGTTATTGTTAAGTACCAGCTCAGATATTTCTGCTGTTTTCGGTCAAGTTGTGTTAGGACAGTGTGCATTTCTTATCGCGTCCATGGTTAAACCAGCTTATGATTGACCACTGGACCTAGACAAATGATTTTGGCAAAAAGTCATCAATCTTGGATCCACCGCTACACCTAAAGAATTTGATGTACTTTAAAGCAACAAAATTGGTGAAGTAGAAGCCGAGATCCTTCGCCTCAAAGGACAGGGGCCGAAGTCCTGGCACAGATAATCAGTATTCATATTACTACTACTAGTTACTGCTCTTGCTAGCACGTAGGTTCGTGGCGCAATTTTGATGTACAGTAGTGTTGCCGCAAGTGCTCGAAATTGCATGCGAAAGAATTCCGATACCAATTCCGAGTACTCGGAATTCAAATTCAAGTATTTGCAATTCCAAGTAATCTAAAAATATTTTTTTAGATTTTCAAATACAATATTTGAAATTTAAAAGGCCGCAATTTGAATTCGATTACTCGAAATTCAAAATGGGGCAATATGAATTCGAGTATTCGAAATTTAAACTGCGGTAAAATAAAATCCGAATATTCGGAATTTAAACGTGACTTTTCTGGATTTCGATTTCTTTGAAATTTAATTAATACTAACAGAATAGACTGAGTCATGATTATCTTACAGTAGACTGCGCGAGAATATCTTGCAGAATACTTTCGACCACTAGTTATGGCAAAAACTGGAAATTGTACGGTTTTTCAGTTCATTTCTCGAACATACGTCTACGTACGTCGAATTCATCATTTCTTGAGATGGTGAATTTAAGAAACAGAACCGACAGTTATTGTATCGTTTAGTTACAGAGCAATAGTCACAGCGAAACTGATCTGTATCCGCTGGGCAGATGCAACCGCCGGCGTACTTCCACCGTATGTGCTGCTTTTGCTGTGCAGTTATGACCTCTCAGCGTGGTTTACATTCACGGATTACGACCCCGCGATCTGGGAGGAGGCGCCAATGTGCCGGTTTCGATCATGGTTAAAAACCAGTGGCGCAGTTCGTCCTCCCGGGCGTAGTTGGCGTTTTGAATCTGCTTTCCCAATAACAGGTCATAGGCAAAACGAGCATACAGTCATATTAGGCACTTATTTCCTCCAGGTGATTGCCCGTAAACTGGGTCGTACTCGATGCTGATCTGACCCTTGCTCTCCAGATGCCAGATGGGCAAACAGGAAATGCCACTGTAGTTTCAGCAAGTCTGGGCATTTGACCCGTTGAATAGTAGATCCGGACAAGACCGGGGATGTCACAGCTGTACAACGCGCAAACATAGTGGTGCGTTAAACAATCCGTTAAACCGTTAAACGTGGACTGCACAAGGTTTTCTCCATGCATCCGCATGTGGAAACGTGGCCTTGGGAAGCACAGGTCGTTATTTTGGTACAGATCCAACTCTGCAGGAAGTTCTAGGCCGCCTTTCTGAGGAAATTAGATTGAGCAGCAGATAGATCCATGCGTTAAGGAGTCTTAGCTGCAAATCCGAGCCGCTTGTTTTCGCCATGCTCATATCGTTCCTTTCTGCGGAGGGACTGTTTGAGTAAGCGGGAACCGGTGTGTCGGCAGGCTGGGGCATGGCTTGGACTGGTTGCGATGACGTTTGGGCTGTCTGATTGAACCGTTCATGGCGCCTTTCTTTCGACGGCCGACAGCGGGGCTTAATGGTTGCGCGAGGTCTGACTCTGAACGTCGTAAAATCAGGGGCGAAAACGTTGCTTACAGTAGGATGCTCTGGCTCTGGCAAATCGGCTTCTGCTGCGGCTTCGGGAATGTTCGGCTGCCCTGGTGACATCCATCACGCCATCCACAAGCTTAAGACGCACCATCGCCTGGCAGTAACTTTTCAGGGTTATCGTAATGCTTTTCTTTGTGGGAATTGAATTCCGCCGGTGTGGGCGGTAAGCGCCAGCTTTCTTTCACACCGGCTTCACTGAGCTGTAGGGGAACGTAAGGATGGTAGTATGACTACTATCCACAAGAAAGCCTTCCCGGGAACGTGTCATGAAGCGGATGCGTCGTTGATGCTTTGGCATTGCCGCCAGGATTTATAACGACTTGATGCACTTGATGTGTTCGCTGGCTCCTTTGCTCCACTGTTTCCCACTTTAAGTTCTGACGCCATAACGGCTGAGAGTTGTGAAAAGTCAAATTATCAAAAAATGTGAAACGCCGGTAAGGTCAGATTTTGGTTTTACATCACTAAAAGGTGACCTTGCCGTAATTGTTAGTTGCCCTGTCGTATTGGATACACAATTCAAACTTTTGTTAGTAGTTTTTTGTGCGGGAAAAACTCCGCGCGTAGTCAATACTCATAGCGCGAGATGCTCTCGCGCGTAGCCGAAACTCATAGCGCGGGAGGCTCGCGCGTAACCATAAACATACTATGTAATACTGAGAGTGAGGGCGATGTGAAACAGCAACGGTTATATGCACCCCTCCCGCCCAGGTTTGTTAATTATTTTAGCTACATAAGCACCCCTTTTACACCATCTTTATTACTTACAGGTACCCATTTTAAAAATACTGTGATATTGCGTTATGTAACCATAGCACTGCATCGTCATTGTTATAATTATTATCAATTGAACAGTTGTTATGAACTTACGACCATGAAGCATAATAGCCAATGTTAAGCACAAAAATGGCCAACCTTCTGAAAGCGGTGATGCGAAATTAAGAACATAGGTGGAAAAAACGTTACCGTTTCGGATAGAGTTTCTCCTTTTTAACAGTAAGGAACATCCATATTCTAGCAACCGTATTTGGCCAGTGCACGGAATAACTGAAACTCCGCACGAGTAATTCTCGTGCATTCCGCAAGCATAGTAAATGAGGCCATATTTCTGACTAGCGCATTAAAAGCTGATCTGGATCATTTTTGTTTCTGAAAGAGCGGTATGTGAGCTACATTTAAAGTTAACCGGCTTTTATCGTTACAACGTGTCATGCAGCCCACAATTTTAACCACAAAACACTCATAAAAACCAAATAAAAAATCCGGAATTTTTTGGGAAACAACAATACGAAAAGTCAGGCATCTTTCTCTGTTGGCTGGTATACGGCCAGTGCAGCGAACTATGGTGCGTAAGTTATGATTCATAGAGATAAGAACGGGTATGTTAAAAAACGGAGCTGTGCAGCGCGGTATCTTGAATACGTGCGGTATGGTTGTTTGACCATTCGGAGCGTAAAGTTCCGGATCGTGATGACACACGTTACCAGTCGTTATCTCCTGCGCATTATGCACAAAAAACCAAGTGGCGTCTATAGCCACATCTAGAGTTATGTAAAGCTTTAAAATCATCCACCATTCGTTTCCGGTTGGTACCACCGGCCGGCACTGCTGATGAAGTCTGGGTATATACAGCCCTGGGCGGTCAAGTTGGTGCAGTTTTAAAAATAAATTACAAGTATTTCCAACCCGGTTTTGCTTTATTTTTACACTTTTTAGTGTAAAAGTAAAATACACAGGATTTACATCCTGATGTACAAACAGGAGGAGCAATGCGGATGTAGAACAACGATACTTGAAGTGGTGCATTTGTATTTAATGCATTTCAGTTGCTGCTGTATCAGGTAAAGGTGAACTACATGTAACAAGTCGTCCTTCCTCCCAATCACCCTCTTTGTGAAGAGCAGGTTATTTTAGCAAGGACGCCGGGGCCGGTTGCGCCGATGACCTGTGTTCCGGTGCTGGTGTCTTCACCCAATCCCCAAAGAAAAGCTGACCAAATTTTATGCGTCGTCGTTGTAGTTGCCGCACGCAGCCGTTGACTGCGCTAACTTTGAGGTTTGAGTCAACATCGCTGGTCTTTACATTTGCGACGGTGAAAGCCAGAACAGGGGTAGCTTCAAACGGAAAACTATTTTGTTGTAATTTTCGCTATGGAGAGTTTATTGTGCGCCGAACTGATAAATGTATATCATCGTTTAACAGTCAACACACCAGGCGGGTGCCAAATAGGCAAAGGCTCTTTCTTAATTCTCTAAGAAATTTCCTTTTGCTCCTACTTCCCTTAAAGTAATTATCGCAGTACAACTACCAGTTCCGTAGTTTGTAGTTTGATGGTACATTGTAATTAAAATCCAAATTTTAAATAAAACTTTTTTAAAAAACCAATTATTTAAAATTCATATGATATGCATTGCAATTCCGAATACTCGGAATTCTAATGTCGGAAATTAGATTTCGAATAATCGAAATTACAACAGCGTCCATTTAAATTGCAATTACTCGGAATTGGAATGCCTGCAATTGCAATTCCGATTACTCGGAATTCAAACGGTAGTGTATTTGAATTTCGAATACTCGAAATTCATTTTAGATTGGAGCACTTCCGGCAACATTAATGTACAGCAGTACAATCACCCCAGAACTGAGCGAAGGATTTCCTTGTTTTATCCATTGAATATAGATATGAAAATGGCGCTCGGCCGCTCGCGGTAGGATTAAGCATTTAGTTACTTACTTCCGGTGCTCTGGAGTCTGGAGACTGTACGTAAAACTCAGCTATGTGCTTTGTCAGTTCCGTCTGTTAAATCTGAAAAATTAAATGTTTGCGAAAAGATGCTGTAATGACATTTCATAGCTGTGTCATGTGTGCAATAATGTAAACCACACCTGTATTAGCTGTATATGCTGCACAACAAACACACTGTCCGGTAGTACAGTCA